AAAAAAAAAAAAAAAATTCCTGGGCTCAAGCGGTTCTCTACCTTCAACCTTCTGAGTAGCTGGAACTATAGGCATGCACCACCATTTCTGGCATGGAAACAATTTTTTAGGGTAGTGGTTTAGCTCATCCTTACAGAAGTTTAACCTTTAGAGATAGGAACTGAGCAATATCTGTCTCTACAAGTAAGTGAGATCCAGAACATCCAATAGATATTATAACATGGGGATGGGGCTGGAGATTTAGCTCAGCGGCACAGCGCCTGCCTGGCAAGTGCGAGGTTGTGAGTTCAATTCCTGGTACCAGAAAAAAAAAGGTATTATAACATGGGAAGACACTGTTTAAAAGGAAAGAGAAACTGGAATAGGGGAAAGGAAAAAAGAAGGAAGGGAAAAGAAAAAAATACATATATATATGATAAGATAGTTTTAAAAAAGAAAGACTACTAATTTCTCTTAATTCATTGAAAAGAAAGGTTTATGCTAATATTATCTGGACAATTAAATGCTATATCTTGTACCCTGAGTAACTAACTTAAAGATAATAATATGCAATATATTAACCATTATTACTTTCCTACTATCTTGTTTTGAAATTGTTTTATTTTTTTCTCTTTAAAATAAATTTTAAAAAACATTTGTCTTTATTATACAATTATAATAAAAACAACTTGTTCATACATGAAAACACATGGAATCATTTATATTAGATACTATAATTTTCAGGTGCTGTCAACTGGTACTTTTTTTTTGACAGTGCTGCATATTGAACCCAGAATGTTCTACTACTCTGTATATCCCCAACCCTTTTATTTATTTTTTTGGGGGGGAACCACAAAAAATATACATATTTTTGTATTGGGGAGTAGAAAAGAAAGCAGCCTGCATAGTGGGCCCTATTCAGTGGCAGCTTCTTGTTCCATAAGGTTAAGAAGATTTTGAGAAATAAAACTTGTTTGGAAAACTCCAGGTGTAGTTGCTTTGTATGTTGTGATGGGCAGAAGGGATGAAGTGAAGTGTGAAGGCCCCTCACACCCTCCATCTGGCCTCAGACCGTGCCCTGGAACCCTGGGTGGAGAAAGCACCACTTTCATTCCTGTTTCTTGGGATTGTGGACAGCCACGTAGTGATAGAGAATGACAAGCAAGAAGAGCAACATGTCTAGCATGTTGGCGAATATGGCAAGCTGCACAGCGGTGATCATCCTGACCAGCTCCACTGCGCTGCACCACGGCTCCAACCCGCACAAGCACTAGCTAAACTACCTAGGCTAGAACTTCATAGTGCCAGCTGGGTCCATTCTGGCACTTCCGGCCGCATGGCGCGTCAGAATGGCCACTTATTTTTTATTTTGAGTCAGGGTCTAAATTGCCCTGGCTAACCTCAAGCTTCCAATTCTCCTGCCTCAGCCTTCTGAGTAGCTAGGATTGCAGGGGTGTGTCACGAGGCTGAGCTATAACGTATTTTGATTACATTAGACAGTTAGAGGTCTCAGGTCTTTGAGAAGCAGAGAAAAAAAAGTACAAAACATGGTACTCTTCTTGGACCTGCCTTCAGTGGTGGCAAATCTATAGCACACCTGCTACAGTGGGCTGTTTTGTATCATTGAAAGTTCTAAAAGGTTCGCCATCACTGGTTCATAATCTTTCATTCCTAAAATCTGTGCTTCCTGTCCCTTCTTGTTTGGTTGGTTTTTTGAGACAGTCTCTCACTATGTAGTTTAGGCTGGCCTTAAACTCACAGCAATCCTCCTTCCTCAGCTTCCTGAGTACTGGGATTATAGGCGTACACCACCATGCTCTGCGCCTTGTGTCACTTCTTGTCTGAACATTTCGGAGTATTTATTTCATGACTTTTTCAGTTTTAGTATTATTTCAAGTCCCTCCTATATGTTCCATCTGTAAATTGTCTCTTGGCCTTGGAGTTCTTTGTGTATTTTATAACTTTGTGGCTATAGGAGTTCATCTTTAACTGTACTTTGGAAGGATTCCATGTATGGTTTTGGCTGAGAAACCTTCTCTTTGAAGTTCATTTCTGACTTGCCTCCATCCTGACTCATCCAAGTTCATTGGCTTGGAAGTAGTTTTTGGTTGATTTCAAAATGGAGCTGTGAATAGTGTAAATTTAGGCTCTGCCTTGGTCAGAGGTCAGAGGTCAGGATCCTAATAACTAGTCCTTGAACGTTTAGTGTCCATATTGAGATGTATTTAGACCTGGAAACTACCTTTTTTTTGTTTGGCACTGGGAAATTAAATCTGGAGCCTCAAACATGCTAGGCAAGCACTCTAGCACTGACGTATATTCCCAGGCCTTTTATTTTTTGAGACAAGGTTGGGCTAAGTTGCCCAGGCCAGCCTTGAACTTGATCTCCTGCCTCAGGCTTTCAAGTAGCTGGTATTACAGGGACTCACCACTGTTCCCATCTAGAGCTACCCCATCTTTCTTTCCTTCTTTGGGTTATTTGGATATTTTTTAGAATTTCGTTTTCATTTATCTGTTGGTTTTTTTGCACTGCTTCTTTGCATTACATTTTGGGTTTGTTTTTTGGTTTTGGTTTTGGAGTTCTGGGTTTGGGGGGGGTTCTTCTGGTTTGGTTTGGTTTGGTTTGGTTTGGTTTTGGTTTTGGTTTTGGTTTTGGTTTTGGTTTTGATTTTTTAAGACAGGGTCTCAAGCTGTGTGTAGTGGTGCACACCTGTAATCTCAGCATTCCAGATGCTGAGGAAAGAGGAGGATCGCTTTGAGTTTGAGGCCAGCCTGGGCTTCATAGTGAGTTCAAGGCCACTGAACTACACAGTGAGACCCTGTCTTTTTTTTTCTCCATCTTTTTGAGACAGGGTCTTACTATGCAATTTAGGCTGGCCTCAAACTCACAATGTAGCCCAGGCTGGCCTTGACCTTGCAACAATCCTCATCTCAGCCTGTGGAATGTTGGGATTATAGGTGTGTGCCACATGCTTGGCTGAATTACCTTTTAGTGGTTACTGTAAGGATTGCAGTATGCATCCTTAGTTTCACTAGCACCTCTAGGATGGCTGCTGGTAGCCTGCCATTCTAGGCTTTAGGGTAGGCACAGCAGCCTGGAGGTTAACATAGGACATCCTTGAAGGGTTGTCTGTATCAAGGAACATTACCATAATTACTGACAACACTGAGCACTTCATATCCCTTAGTACATATACCCTCACTAACCATAACCCTGTGAAGGTCAGTACAGTACCTTCTGCAGATCAATCAGTGGCTGAGGCCAAGGTCAAGTGAGGGGTCATACTCAGACAACCTTGGCTCCAGGACCTGCCTGCTTAGCTCTCTGTGACCAACCCCTTTGTCTTTTTTTTTTTAGGTGTACAAAAGAGCCAAGGCACTGGACCAGTCCGACAATGATATGTCTGCCGTGTACCGAGCCTACATACACTAAGCCGTAGATGCCCTGCCCCAGCCCTCTGATCTTCCCTCGGCCCCCTCTTCCCGACATGGGGTTGGGGTCCTGGGATTTAACTCTGGACCAGTCCACCTGTCTCCATTTCCTTTTATACAGACTTGAGACTTGCCATCAGCACAGCACACAGCAGTACCCCTCCCTGACGCCCTGGGAGGGAGGGGTGTCACCAGGGTTGGCTTGTGAGGAAGCTCTTGAGCTGGGCAATGGCCCCGACTAGGTGGCTGTATGTACACACACACACACACACACACACACACACACACACACACACACACGTGCGCGCTCTCACCCCAGGATAGAAGCTGCCCAGAAACTGCTGCTGCCTGGCTTTTTTTCTTCTAAGCTTATCAAACCCTTCCAGTTGAACTAGAATCAGCAGAGGTTGACATTGTGTCCTAGTCCCTACCTGCACCCCTGCAGGGAAAGGCTCAGGGCCAGGATGAACCAGCACCAACTCCCAGCAGTGGTTTGAATGGGCCCTCCAGCCTCAGCTGAGAAGGATGTGAAGGATTTTCGAGTCTAAGCTACCGATGTGCACCCACCTCTTGTAAAGGCCTTTGTAAACTGCGAAGAGACTGCCACCATCTCACACAGGCGGACTTGGCCCTGCAGCAAGAGCAGCAAGCAGCCGGGCTGCAGATCGGCACAGCTGCCTAGCTCTTCAGCTACTACTCAACACCTATTAGCCCTTCAAGCCTCAGCTGGGTCCAGGGTCCTTGCTTCCCTGCAGTGGAGCTTGCTCCTCCCCAGGCTGTTAGTGTTTGGATTTGCATTCCAGCCCTTGGGAAGAGTGCCCTTAGAACCCTGAGCAGTGGGGAGTGAGGGCCACTCCTTCCTGTTTCCGTTATGTCACCGTCTTCACCTGGCTCTGGGGAGCCACTGAGCTGGCCAACCTGACCCAGCCTGCCCTGCGCTTCCTCTGCATGCCCCATCTCTCTTCACTCTCTTCTCCCACCTTTCCTCCCATGGAGGCAGTATTTCTGTCTGTCTCCTATCTGGCGCAAACCCAGCCTGACCAATGATGAGCATTTCTTAGGCTCACTTGATAGGGAATGAGTGTCTGTTCCAGCCAGCATCAACGCTCTTCACTGCTGCCCAGGCCAGGGTTTGCTGGGTGGGAGAGGACTGGGCCTGACCTAATCTGAAGTAACTGACCCTCAGAGGTGGAGCTGGGATGTCCTTGAGGTCCTAGCATTTCTCCTTGGATTGGGGACCAGTGGCTTAAAATGTCGCATGAGAACAAGGAGGAGTTCCCCCAAGGGATGTCAGCTGTTTTTTCTCTCATGGGGTGGGTTTTCCAAAGTCACAATTTACAGTTTAACTATGTAAGGTGGCCACACTGGTGTGGGGCAGGGCAGATGTCCGTGGGTGCCGCACACTTGTTCATTTCACTGGGATTTTGAACTCATTTGTCTGAACACAGCCTGTCTTAGTCTTGGTGGACACACTGAGGGTGGGGGTGGGGGAAGGCACTGTAATGAAACCGGTTAGTCAATGTTGTCTTAATATTGTTGACAATTCTGTAAAGTTTCTTTTTATGAGTATTTCTGTTTAAGGTATTTCACGTTTGTTTTGAAATCTTCCCTTCTGAGGAGAAAATGTGACACTTGTGAAAAAGCTTGTAAGAAAGCCCCTCTTTTTTCCTTTAAACCTTTAAATGACAAATCTAGGTGATTAAGGTTGTGAGTTTTCATTTTTGCTTTGTTTTTAATGAACATTTGTCTTTCAGAATAGGATTGTGTGATAATGTTTAAATGGCAAAACAAAACATGATTTTGTGCAATTAACAAAGCTACTGCAAGAAAAATAAAACATTTCTTGGTAATACAGTTGTACCGCAGGAACCCGCAACGCTTGGCGTGGGTCGGTGCGCCGCCACAGGCCACCAGTATACAAGTCTTCCTTTCCCGGGGACAGTGGGCGGGACAAAGGGCCCGTGTAGCCAAGCGAGCCAATGGGATGCTAAGCAGGAATGGGGAGCCAATGGGAGACTAAGCAGGAATGGGTCGCTCCGTGGGCCAATCAGCGTACCAGGGCCTGGGGTGCAGCGTCCACGGCCTTCAGTGAGAGCCGGGCGCGGAGGCTCCCGGGGCAGGTGCCGGCGTTGTCAATATACGCAGCCTCGATCTGGGGATCCCGCCGATCTCGTGAGCTAGCGGCCAATTGCCGACTCGGAGACGGCCTGGGGGTGGGGCCGGCACCCTCTCCGCCAATCGAGCTCCGAGGGCCGGGACCAGCGCCGTGTGCCGTCGGGAAGACGGCGGGGACAGCGCTGGGCTGCAGCTGCGACGATGGCGACCGCGATGGCAGCGACGGCAGCGGAGCGGGCGGTGCTGGTGAGCGAGCGGGAGGGCGGGGGGCGGGGGGCAGGGGGGCGACGGCCGTTACCGCCGCTCTGTCCGCAGGAGGAGGAGTTCCGCTGGCTACTGCACGCCGAGGTGCACGCCGTGCTGAGGCAGCTGCAGGACATTCTCAAGGTAACGCGCAAAGCTGCCCCCGGACCTTTGCATTAGCAGTGCCCCGCCTACTCTCCTTCCCACTGGGTCTCTGCCACTGGTGACCCCGCGGCTGTTTCCTGGGCGCCCGCGGAGTGCTAGGTGCAGCAATGTGGACAAGGCCCCCACCTCAGTGAACAAAATCTAGTGGGGCCTCAGCACAGCAGCACTCAGTTAACAGCAGCTGTTACGTGAGTGGAGTGGGTGCCCCTACAGCAAGCGCTTCAGCTCCAGCGAGAAAGGCTTTCCTTGAAGCTATGATCTCTAAGAGCTAAGGATTCCTGCCCCCGCCCCCCAGTGTGATCTCAGCCAAGTTACCCAACCTCTCTGGGACCTTCTTTTCTTACTTACAAAAGTAGGTAACAGTGTCGCTGTGATGATAAATAAACGAATGCCTTCTGTGGTCTAGACAGTGCTTCCCACACCTGGGACCTCAGCTCAGCCAGGAGGCCACTCTGCCTTGCTTTCCGTGTGGGAGACACTGTAGGTGCTCAGTGTGGAATGACCAGAGCTGAGCTCACTGGGGCCCTGAGGCTCAGGCTGTGGAAGTGCGGCCACCCCACCCCGGCTAAGCCCCGGAGCAGGCCAGCCCACCTGTGCTTTCCCCAGCCGATCCAGGCATGAGCGCCTCAAGAAGCAGCTCTGGCTGTTCTGTCTCCCACAGGAGGCCTCTCTGCGCTTCACTCTGCCGGGTTCAGCCTCTGAGGGCCCTGCCAAGCAGGAGAACTTCATCCTGGGGAGCTGTGGGTAAGCTGGGCAGAAATCCAGAGGAGGGGCCGAGGTGGGGGTGCTTGGGGACAGGAGGCCGGGCTGCAGCTGTACCTTGCAGACAGAGGTGGGTGTGTGGTGCATTCTGGAACAGCCAGGCACTAGCCAGCAGCAGGAGGGGCCAGCAGCTGGCCCCCCCTGACCCCCACATGTTGTAGCACAGACCAGGTGAAAGGTGTGCTGACTCTGCAAGGAGATGCCCTCAGCCAGGCGGTGAGTCCCCCAGACCCTCTCCCCTTCCCATCCTGTGGGAGCAGCATGGGGGCTTCCTGCTTAGCTCTGCCATTGGCCAGCATCATGATTCTGGACAGGACCCTTGACCTGTCTGACAGCAACCCCTGCACTTCCCTGTGGGATTGGAGTGTGGGTTTTGTGAGAGGTGTAGGAAAGCAGTTGCTCTGCACTTGGCTGGACCTGGCTCCTCGACCCAGTGAAGCGAGGACATTGGCAGGATCCAGCTGGCCCCGGATCAACGTTGAATCGGCCAACATCTGAGCACCGGTCTGCACCCAACACTGTGCCATGCACCAAGGCATGGGGGACGGCCCGTCTTCCTCATGCCTTCTCTTTTGGCCACCATCTTTGATGGCTACCTTCCCCCACCACCCTTCCCCTTTCTCCAACTCTTTTCCCTTTTTCCTCTTTGCGGTTCCTCTTGGGTCTGAGTTCCTGTTTTCTGACCTCCCCATTCTCCACCACCAGCTCCAGCTGAGACCTCAGGAGCCCCTTACCCCATGGAGGAGCAGGGACCTGAGCCACCCCTGGTTCAGGGGTTCAGAGTAGCCAAAAGTATGAAGATTTCTCCCTGCCCCGCTTATCTCACTCTCCCTGTCAGGACGTGAACCTGAAGATGCCCCGGAACAACCAGCTGCTGCACTTGGCCTTCCGGGAAGACAAGCAGTGGAAGCTGCAACAGGTAGCTCCAGGCTCAGGAGGGGCAGGCATGGGCAGGCCCAGGTGGCTGCCGTGGGGCTGCCCTGGAGGATTTATAGCCACAGCTTGCCTAAGAGTGTTTCTTAGCAGCAAAGCTGGGAAGAGACAGTGCCTGGGGCCCACAGCCTTCTCTGTGGGGAGTGGGGAATCTGTTCTGCCTATGGGCCCTCTGTCCCTGCTGGGACAGCTGATATTTCCCTGCACAAGCCACACCCTCTCTTGAGCCTCCAGGCATTTTCTGTGGCTCTGAAACCAAACCTTGACCCAGCTGATTTCTGCCAGCTCCTCTGACCCCCACCCCACAAGCCTTCCTTTGTGTTCCCACCCCACTATGTTGGTTGCCTCCTGAGTAGTCTTGCAGGCTTGTCCCTGTGTCTGTCCTCCAGGTGAGTTCCTCCAGGGCAGAGAACAGGGCTGCTTCAGCCCATGGAAGTCTGGGCCCGGCATATAGGGCACGGAGAAAGCAGCTTCAGGGTAGAATGGGCAGGCCAGGCTGCAGCCCTCCCACCCAGGGTCAGGCCCAGGGTGGCTCTGCCCTGGAGCTGTGCTGGGAGCCATGCTAAGGAGCTAGGCTACAGATGACCCAGCCTAGTAAGTGCTGGGTGGATGCTGTTTTCAGATCCAGGACGCCAGAAACCATGTCAGCCAAGCCATTTACCTCCTAACCCACCGAGATGATAGCTACCAGTTCAAGACAGGTGCTGAAGTCCTCAAGGTAAATGGCCCTGACCCGGCCTGGGCCCCTGGACACCTCTCTGGCCCTGTGCTTTGTGGTCCTGTGCCCTCATGCCTAGGGTTAGCATTAGGCTGTCTCTTCCCCCTCCTTGTTCAGATGTCCTCATGTAGCATAGCAGCCCATAACCTGGGATCCAGTCCCTAGGCCCGAGCTGTGAGCTGTGCAATCTAAAGTCACCTGTTTAGTCACACTGTGCCTGTTTCCTCACCTGTAAAATGGGGACAAGCTGTAGCAACTGTTAATTATGGTAATGCAGGGAAAGTGGCCCCCAACAAGCGCCAAGCAACTTATACTACTGTAGCAGTCGTCACAGAGGTAAAGTCTTTAAGATATTATAAAGTGAAACTGGGTGTGGTGGTACATGCCTGTAATCCCAACACTGTGGGAGGCTGAGACAGGAGGATTACAACTGTTGAGCTCAGTCTAGGTAGTTTAACGATTTACCGAGACCCTGTCTCAAAATTTTAAAAAAAGGTGGGGATGCAGCGCAGTGTGAGGACCTTGGGTTCACCCCTTAGTATACTACTGAAGGAAAAAAATTTACAAAGTGAGGCCACACAGCTTGTGGGAGAGCTGACTTAGATAACCTGGGATTCCTGCCTCGGTTCTGCCCCTAAGTTGCTTTGTGTCCTTGGCTGGTCCACCTTTGGCAATAGCTGTATGACCTCCAGGAGGCAGTGGAAGCTGGCACTCGAGAGTAGCCCAAGGCTTTGCTGCATCGCTCAGGGAAGTGGGAGGCCTCCAGATGACTTCCCTGCCCACTGTGACTGAGCTTACCCTCTGGAGCCTGGGCTCCCTCAGCTACAAAAACTCAAGACCTCACCGGGTGTGGTGGCACACGCCTGTAATCCCAGCACTCTGGAGGCTGAGGCAGGAGGATTGTTCTGAGTTCGAGGCCAGCCTGGGCTACAAAGTGAGCTCAAGGCCAGCCTGAGCTACATAGCAAGACCCTGTCTCAAAAAGAGAAAAAAAAAAAAAAACTCAAGACCTCAACTCAGCCATCCCACCACCTCCTACAGGATGCTCTCCTGTGACCCAAGCCATATTCGGGGCCCTTCTAAGCTCTTCATTGCTCTCTGCAAAGCCTGTGCTCTGGGACTTACCTCCCAGAATCCTCATCCCCATGGGACCAGCACCAGGGCCCCCACACAGGACCTCCTGAATGGCGGCCACCCCTGCTGGGGCTGTGGGGTTCAGGCATGAAGCCCGACCCTGCACAGCGGCTGTAACTCCACCTCCCCAGCTCATGGATGCTGTGATGCTGCAGCTGACCAGAGCCCGCAACCGGCTCACCACCCCAGCCACCCTCACCCTGCCCGAGATCGCAGCCAGCGGCCTCACGGTCAGTGCCTTGACCGCCCCCTCCCTGCAACCACAGGGCCCCCGCAGAGGGATCCAGCTTGCCCCTGGGATGGACATGGGTGGCAGGCCCTCGATTGCAGCTGACTGAAGTCTGCGTCTGTGGGGTTTCTTGGTGGGGTTCCCAGCCTCTCTTCCTCCATCCACCAAATACATTAACGCCTCTCTGGGGCAGGATCCCAAACCAGCAGCACAGGAGGATCCCAGGGCTCTTTCCCAGGGAAAGGCTAGAAGTCTCAGTCGTTGGGAGGAGCATCTGGGGTAGAGACTGGGATCCCCATTTGGTGATTCTATAGAAGCTGGGCCCCCTGGGGGTACAAGCCTGGGGGGAGTGGGCCCTCACCCCCCACTTCTCTCCCCCCAGCGGATGTTTGCTCCTACCCTGCCCTCCGACTTGCTGGTCAACGTCTACATCAACCTCAACAAGCTCTGCCTCACTGTGTACCAGCTGCACGTCCTGCAGCCCAACTCCACTAAGGTGAGTAGACCCCCACCCTGCCCCACCCCATGTGCCTACCCAAAGCCTCAGGAAGCCTGACCAGGTTCTATGCCTCTACCCAGAACTTCCGCCCAGCTGGAGGTGCAGTGCTACACAGCCCAGGAGCCATGTTGTAAGTAGATGGGGGGTCCTGGCATACCTCCCCCTGCTGCAGCGGGCGTTGGGCTCAGGCCCACTCACTCAGGGGACCTGCCCCTCGTTCCCCAGTGAGTGGGGTTCACAGCGCCTGGAGGTGAGTCATGTGCACAAGGTGGAATGTGTGATCCCCTGGCTCAATGATGCCCTGGTCTACTTCACCGTCTCCTTGCAGCTCTGCCAGCAGCTCAAGGACAAGGTACGTTGGGGATGCTGTAGGGGACCAAGGTCTCCAGCCCCCCAGATGGCAGAACCCCTGAGCCCCTTTGTTCCAGGGAGAGGGATCCTAGGGCTCTTGTCATACCTCCTCAGTGCCCCCAGTCTTAAAGTCCAGTATACCCACACACCAGGCAGCTAGGCCACAGTGCCACCGCGAGCGATGCTCTTCCCCAGCACTGACTTGGACCTCAGTGGGGGCCTTGGAGAGTGCGGACCTCGCCCCAGCGTTCTGCTAACCATGGCCCTCCCTCCACAGATCTCCGTGTTCTCTAGCTACTGGAGCTACAGACCCTTCTGAGCTGAGCACAGTGCCCCAGAAGCCTGTCCCCTGGGAGTGTCCCTTGCCCATAGACTCCCTTTTCCCACCCTCACGCTCCTCATAGCGTTATTTATCTCCCTCCTCACCCGCCCTGCCCCACACCTTTGCATTGCTGCTGCTAGGAGGAAGGACACTCACTGGTTTTGTTTGGTTGAGGTTTTGTGTAAGGAAGGTGGGGCCGAGGGGTGGCCACACTCTCAGCCCTGCCCTCCCAGGCATTGCGGGAACCTTTGGACTCAGGGCTTGGCCAAGCCTCTTCTTTCTCTCCAGCTGCCACCGGGTGGTAGAGGGCAGCCGCTCAGCTCCTGCTGAGGGAGGGTGTGGGTGGAGCCCTGAACTGTGGGATGGGAGAGAAGGAAAAGGGACATCTGCGGAGCTGGCCTGTGAGTGAGCTGTAGGGCTGGGATGTTTGTTCTGAAGCCTCTAAGAAATAAAGATCAGACTTAACCTGGAGCCCTTGTCTCTGTCTGTCTGTGGGGACCAGGCTGGATCTCCCTGCTTTTCAGTGGCCTCCTCTGTTCCCAGGGCCTGGTTTCCCCACAAACCTACCTTTGAGACAGGGTCCCCTGGCTACCATGGGGCCAGACATGATGGGGACAAGAGCTCAGGCCCTGTCTCTGAGACCAGGAGCTGGGTGACCTAGGAGGACGTTCTGACACTCACATCCTTGCGGAGCATCGGGTCCCCATGCTGCCCACCTGCAGGGTCCAGAGACACAGTTCAGGCTCAGACTCACAGTAGACAAGCTTTGTTTCTTTGGCGCCAGGACACATGCCAGGGGACTAACGTTAGGGTTCCATGGCCCAGTTATCCATTCCCTTGGGTCTTTCCTGCAAGAGAGGTACAGAGAGGGCCATACGGCAGCCCCTCCTTGGCCCTAGCTGGCCCCCTCCCCGCCTCGGCCCGCACAGGACAGGTGTGTCCCCCAGGATCCTCTTGCCCGCTCACCTTCCCGGGTCTCACCTTCCGGGGCTTCGGGGAGGCACAGCAGCAGTGACAGCAGCAGTGAGCAATGACTAGCAGCAGCAGGAGCAACACAGTGCCTGGGGACAGGGCAGTTATCCAGATGTAGCCCCAGCGCAGGGCTGATGGGGGCGACCTGGAGGCAGCGGCCACACTCACCCACAAAAGTGAGGAAGACCACGAAGGCGGCAGTGTCCCACTCAGACTGGAACAGCTGGCGGCTCTTCAGTCGCCCCAGCACTTCCTGAGCTGTGGCCTCCAGCTCCTCCATGGACAGACTCATTCCAGCCAGAGCCACCTGTCAGGGGCCCCAGAGGGCACCTCAGAGCAGGCCCAGCCTCCTGCCCTGGGCCCGGCACCCTTCTGCTGCGTCACCTCCCTCACCATCCCACGCCGTTTTTCTTCCACTCTGGCCCCATCCTGAGCAGCTCCCACCCCAACCACCATCCTCCCTCCCTGGGAGTCCTGAGCGGACTGCCCCCGTGCCTCCCCACCAGCGACCAGGAGGCTTCCCCACCTGGCGCTCCCCAGTCCAGAGCTCAGCCTGTTTCCTGCTTCCGGATCCACATCACCTGAGGCCCTGGCAACCAGCCCCGCCCTCCCAGGGCAGGCAGAGCCCCAGGAGGGAGCTCAGGGCCCTGGGGCGCAGGCCTGACAGCTGCCTGATTCCCAGGAGTTGTGGTTGGTTGGTTTGTTGGTTTTTTTAGTCTTCAGAATCTATCAGACCAGGTGCTGAGAATAGGTGGGCACTAAGCTACCATTGACTTCCTGGGTGAAAGGGAGGAAAAGGAGCAAGGAGGAGGGAGAGCTTGTCCTAGGTCCTGTCCCCTTCCCTGGGCAGTAGTTTTCTTGAAATAATCCTTACAAAGAAAGTGGTTATTGTCTCAGATGAGTTCCTTCCCAAAACCTGCGGTCTGGGCCCCTTGATCCTGACTTCTCTAACCCTCCCCAGGAAAGCAGCTGTCTCTTTCCTGCTTTCACGGCCTGTCAGGGGCCAGAGGCTGTGTTCAGCCTAGAGAGGGGCTGTAAACCAGGTGGACACAGTTCCTTGATCTTGTGGCTTTCGTAGGGTGCTGCACCTCAAGCTGTATATGCCTTACCTCATGCTGATCCTAGAGTGGGTGTTTTTGCTTTTCCCAGGTCACAAATAAGAAAATTGAGGCCTTAGTGAAGTTAAAGCAATCAGCCCAGTCACACACCTGGTATGTTCATTTCCCATTGCTGCTGTACCATGCTGTGACAAGTTCAATGGCTTCAAAACAGCACAAATTTATTATCTTACAGTTCTAAAGGCCAGAGTCTAATATGGGCTGGTGGAGCTGTGTAAAGGAGAATCTATCCCTTGCCTTTTTCGGTCCTTACATTCCACCCCTATGTGAGCTTAGACTGGTTACCTGAACCCTCTGTGCCTCTGTTTCCTTATCTGTAAGATGGGTGTATTAGCAGTCTCCATGTTGGGAAGATGCAATAAGGCAATAGTTGATGTTGGAACTTTCACCAACCTGGTGGATCCCTCTTGGCTTTACTGGGGCATTTCCCCTGATTGTCACAAATATGGGTCAGGTTGCATGCACAGGCTGGACGTCCTGGAGGAAATGTTTTCTCTGCCCAGAGGCCGCTTCCCTTAGGGGATGTCCCCGGAAGTACAGCCTGCTTCTGTTCCTGCCCCGCCCTCAGGTCACTGGAACCACAGTATCCTCATTCACATTTGGTCACAGTGGAGCCTGCAAGGCTTCCCCGTTGACTGTGGCCCAGTCCCAGGGCAAGCTGTGCTGTATGCTCAGCGCCCCCTGCCTGCCCACCTTCTGAGCCCTTGGAGTTAAGCCTCTGTTGTCTTAGCCCGGGAGTGAGGGCAGCGGGAGGGCGCACACAAGCCAGGACAGTGACACTGTGAACAGCTTGGCGGCAGGGCTGAAGGGGCCGAGGCGCAGAGGATCAAGCGAGGCACACACTCAGCACGGGGCATCTGGAAATAGCGCTGCACCGAGAGAGAGCGAGACCCGTCCACCTACAGGTTGTCTCAGGAGAATTGAGCAGTGGTTGCAACAGAGACCTTTGGACCAGCAAAGTCTGTAGTCAGGACTGTGTGGCCCTTTACAGACAATGTTCCCCGAGGCCTGGGACAAAAGACTGCTCTGAGTTTGCAAAGGCGGGTACCAGACAGCAGGTAGGCAGGGACAAAGTGAGATGAGCTGGTGAAAGAAGCATCGTCAGAGACACTAGGGATGAGTGAGGACTGTGAAGAAAGGGGAATTCTTTTTTTTTTGGTTTTTCTCCGGTACCGGGAACCGAACTCACGACGTTGCGCTTGCCAGGCAGGCGCTTTTGCCGCTGAGCTAAATCCCCAGCCCCTAAGAAAGGGGAATTCTGAGCTGGGGTGTATCAGTGGTAGCATGCACAAGCGCTGGGTTCCACCCCTAGCACAGAATGAATGAATGAATGAATGAATGAATGAATGAATGATAAATAACTATTGAGATGTCGCAGTTTAATTACCAGAAGCAACAGGGACTTCTTACTGACGGCCCTCCTCTCCTACCCTCCTTTTTTATTTTTTTCAGTGCCGGAGGGTTGAACCCAGCCCCTTCTTATGGAGCTACACCACTGCTACCACTTATTTTTTAATTCGAGACAGGGTCTTACTGAATCACTGCGTTGCCAAGCTAGGCGTGAACTAACCTGTCTGCCTGAGCATCTAAGAGAGCTGGGGTTGCAGGCCTGCTCCACCAAGCCTGGCTCCTCCCATCCTCTTCCCCTTGGCCAGTGCAGTCTGCCCTGTCTCCCTTCCCCGAAATGTAGGAAGCTTCTCTTACCTGCCTCTGTCTGGGGAACATTTCCCGGCCGCTCCCTACCCATCCAGGTCCTTGCCGGTACTTGTGCTGGGACCTCTTCTGTTTCTGGCCAGCATCTCTAATGGCTCAATAACCCCTTTTATCCCAGAGATCCCGCAGCCTCTAGAGTTTTGGTTTAACAGCTCTGGCAATAGTCAGCATGTGCCATCTCGAGAGGGAAAGGTGGCCCTGGCTGTCATCTTAAGATGCTGGAAATCCAGGCATTCCTGTGAACAAAGGACTCAGCCAGAGGGCCAGCTGTGCTGCTTCCTCCCCGTGGGTCCTTGAGCCGCTGGCGTGGGCTGTCTGTCTCTGCGCTGGGGCTGGCAACTGCAGGTACTCCAAGGGGTGGTGACTACTGAACAGGGGAACCTAGGGCCACCAGAACAATCCCACGCGGTCTCTTGTTTTTTCAGTGCTGCAGTTTAAAATTCGATGGTGCCAACAATTGAAGGACCGAAGAAAACTCCGCTTTGGGGCTGTGACTCCTGGGTTTCCGTCCCCTGGCAGAGTCCAAACCCAGCTCCGACATTTTGCAGCTGGTGGCCTTGGTGGCAGGCACTGCCCTGGGGGCCTCAGCTCCCTGTCTAAGAGGAAGTCATTGTGTGATGAGTCAGGGTCCCGCTGAGTATGACACTGTGAACATGACAGGGTAAAGGACCTGGAGCGTAGCTGGCCATGGTGGCACACACCTGTAATCCCAGCAGTCTGGGAGGCTGAAACAGGAGGATTAGAATTCAAACCCAGCCCAGGCAATTTAGCAAGACCTTGTCTCAAACAATAAAAAGTATTAAAAAAAAAAAAAAAAAGGCTGCAGACAAGTTTAGTATGAGAATCCTAGGTTCGATCCCCAATACCACAAAATAAATAAATATTTTTTTTAAAAAATAAAGAGCCTGAAGGATCCACTCACATTCCTGCTGAGGGTGGGAAGGGGGCTCACGGGAGGGAGGGGCAGAGCTCAGATTCTGCAGTTAACGGCCGGCCCTCCCCTCCCCCTCACACACAGGCACACGCCAGGGCCTGCGGCTGCTCGCGGCTGCTCGGAGCTCCACGGCACTCACCCGCCAGGTGCTGGGGTCCCCTGCGAGGCCAGCACAGCTGGTTGCCAGCCCTCCTCGCCTCCCTCCCCTTACAGCCTGGGCCTCGGCCTCTACCTGTCTGTGAATCTGTGTCCTCCTGCCTGTCTTTCTCCGTCTCTGCCAATTCTCTGTGTCCCCCACATACTCCGAGTGGCCCCTGCAGGACTCCTGTGGCTACAGACAGCCCCTGGGCGTTGACAAGTCCCAGCGGGCATCTTGCCTGCCCTGAGGGTGGGAAGGGCAGACCTCTGGGGCTACAGCGGCTCCGGATGGGGTTTGGTCTCTCCGGCTGTGAGCAAAGCAGACTTGGGCTTACCCGGGTGGCATAAAGGGTGGCGTGGCTGTCAGCAGAACGCTGTGTTGGGGTGCTGGCATGAGCACTCCGGGGTCTCCATGAGCCCCAGCAACAAGGCCTTCTCCCAACTGCAGCCTGAAACAGGCATCTTTGTGTCCTTGGTCCCATGGACGCCCTGAGGGCATCCCCCTCCCCCGGCTCCTCAAGGCCCTCCAGCCCCAGGATGGCGCCCTGTGAGATGCCTGCGCCTGTGGGCATTGAGGCCGTGCTGGACCAACTGAAGATCAAGGCCATGAAGACGGGCTTTGAGTTCAACGTCATGGTGGTGGGTGAGTGAGGAGCTGGGGCCTCCTGGACCCTGGGCTTGAGTATGTCACTCAGCTCCCCAGCCGCAGTCTCCCCGTAGGTTAAGGGGTCCTGATCCTGATAGGTGGTAGGAGTGTTGTCCTTGAAAATCTGGGAGACGCCAACCATTACAGACAAAAAGTATCCACACACTCCAAGGAAGTGACCAGGAATAATGGGGAGAGGGTCAGACTCCTGGACGTGGTGACCCAAGCATGAGCTTACTGTGCTAGTGATGCTGATTCATCGTGATTACTTTGTAGAAAATTCACTGAACTAGCCAGGTATGATGCAATATGCTTGTAATTCCAGGACTTTGGGAGGCTGAGGCAGGAGGATCAGAAGTTCAGCCCCAGTCTGAGCAATTCAGCAAGGCTCTGTCCAACACATTTTTAAAGGGTGGGGGATGTAGCTCAGTGAGAAGGCTCCAGGTTTAATCACCAGTACTACCACACACACAAAAACAAATTGCTGAATTGCCTATCTGTGAATGAATGAACAAAATGTAGTTTATTCCTATAATGGAATATTATTCAGCCACCAAAAAGAACGACTGCCACATACTACAAAATGAATGAACATTATGCTAAAGAAAAGAAACCAAGCCCAAAGGCCCCATAGTGTATTTTCCCTTGACAGGATATGTCCAGAATAAGGAAATCCATTAGGGACAGAAAGTAACTTGGTGCCAAGGCTGGAGAGGGGAAAAGGGAGTGAGTGCTTCAAAGGTACAGGATCTCATCTGAGGTTGTGAAAATGTCATGGAACTAGGCAGAGGTGGTAATTACACATTATAAACATAGTTAACATCACTTTACTGTGCACTTTAAAATAACAGTATATAAGTGTGAAATCACAGTCTGTTATCCCAGCACTCTGGGGTCTGAGGGAAAAGGATCACCAAGTTCAAACACAGCCTGGGCAACATAGGAAGTCCATAACTCAAAATTTAAAAAAAAAAAATTAAAAAAGAGTTGGCCTTGGTAGCCCAGTTCCTCAGGAGACTGAGACAGGAGAATTAAAAGTTCAAGGCCAGCCTGGGCTACGTAGCAAGACCCTGTTTCCTACAGTAAATAAATAAATTACATATGTGTATATATATATATATATATATATACAGCTCAGTGGCACAGTGCCTGCCTGGCAAGCGTGAGGTCATGAGTTCAAGTCCCAGTACCAAAAATAAATAAATAAATAAATAAAATATGTAGTTCTAAAGGGTTGGAGATATAGCTCAGCAGTAAAGTGCCCCTGTCTTTGATACCCAGTAAAAAAGAAAAACCAACTAATTTTGTGTTATATAAATTTTACCCCCATAAAGAAACAAGGAGAGCATTAAACCAAACGTTTACAATTCTATGCACTTGTCCATAAACAGTTTATTTTCCAAGCCAGATTATCGGTAATCCTAGAATCTGGGAAGCCAGGGCAGAAGGGTTGCTGTGAGTTCAAGGCCAGTCTGAAATACACAAGGAGACCCTGTCTCAAAAAAAACAAAACAAAGCCAGGCGTGGTAGCACACACCTGTAATCCCAGCACTCAGGAGGCGGAGGCAGGAGGATCATTGCAAGTTCCAGGCCAGCCTGGGCTACAAAGTGAGTTGAAGGTCAGCCTCAACTGCATAGCGAGACCCTGTCTCAAAAAAAAACAAAAACAAAAAACAAAAAGAAAAACCAGTTTGTTTTCCAAAAAAGGGTATTTATTTAAGAGTTTGAGAGATGCAGCCTAAAATGCTCACCTTGACCGCTGTCGTCTGTCCCTCCCAGGGCAGAGTGGGCTGGGCAAGTCCACAATGGTGAACACGCTGTTCAAGTCCAAAGTATGGAAGTCGACCCTGCCAGGCCCGGGGGTACCCACGCCCCAGACGCTGCAGCTGCACTCGGTGACCCACAGTGAGTGAGCCCAGGGCAGCCCCGCCACCCCACCGCCCGGGCCAGCCTCACCCTCTGCTGTCCCTTGCAGTCATCGAGGAGAAGGGCCTGAAGCTGAAGCTCACAGTGACAGACACACCTGGCTTCGGGGACCAGATCAACAATGACAAGTGGTGGGTCCGGGAGAGCCTACTCCTGCTGCTGCCCTTCCAACCTCCGGGAGATCCCCAGCAGTGTCATCTTCCAGCCTCAGTTTCCTTGTCTGTATAGTGGGTGTCCTCGACTGTCCCTCTACACGATGGAGAGGGCAGTACCTAAAGCTCTCAGCTGGCCGTCTGTACGAAGGGAGCCTCAGGAAAGATCCGTGTAGCCCACACCCCCCGAGTCAGAATTCCTGAGTCAGGCTCAGCTCCGTAACCAGGACTGGTCATGGAGATCTCAGAGCCTTGGGGCGAGGGGGGAGGACACACTCATTAAGAGGAGTTGGTAACACACACACCCAAGATCAGCTGCCAAATTTGTGGGATACAGTGCAATGACAATGTGGCGCCCCTAATTCAAGAATTATTAAGACTATCAGCCAAGGTATGGCGGCACATGCCTGTAATCTTAGCTATGCAGGAGGCTGAGGCAGAAGGATCCAAATGTGAGGCCAACCTGGGAAACTTATCAATGTAGACCCTATCTCAAAGGAAAAAATAAAAAGCTCTGGGGATGCAGCTCAGTAGCATAGCAACCTTAGTTCAGTTCCCACTACCACCACCAAAAAAATTATAAGACCACAGACTTCTACATTTGGTACTCTGTGTGAATGCGCTGCAGCCCTCCCGTGAAGATGGCCTTGCACATGATGCTTTGTTGAGCACCTACTATGTGCTGGGCTCTGCTCTGGACATGGGCAATCCAGTAAGGAATAAGACAGGTGGACACCCTGGCCTCCATAGAAAAGGGAGCACAGGGAAGAGAGATGATGAACAAAATCAGTTATGGGGGAGCTAAACCTAAAATACATTATCCAGCCAAGTCTTTAGGGGTGGTTACTGGGGATTTAACCAGGGAGTACTGAAGTATATCTTCAGCCCATTTTATTTTGAGGCAAGGTCTTGTTAAGTTGTCCTGGCTGGCCTCAGACTTGCAATTCTTCTACCTCAGCCTCTGAAGTAGCTAGGATTACAGACATGTGCCACTGAACCAGGCTGAATGAGAACATTTGTGAGCATGAAAGAGGCCATAGGCGTGCAAGGCTGTGGAATCCATCTCCTGGAAGGATGGCTTTGGGGCAAACTTCCTGGAGAAGAGAAGGGAGGCACATGGATGTGCAGGGGAACAGTGGTCCAGGCAGAGGAAGCAGCAAGTGCAAAGCCCCTGAGGTGGGGCAGGCCTGACACCTGAGGAGGGAGAGGGCAGGAAGGAAAAAGGTGTGAGGTGATATAGAACCTTGTAAGGCAATGTAAGGGCTTTGGCTTTTCTTTGGCCACTGGAAGTTGAGCAGAAAAAGGATACAACGTGACCTTCGTTTTGTCTTAGTTTTGTAGTGCTGGGGATGGGATTCAGGGTCTCATGGATGTTAGGCAAACCCTCTACCATTGTGCCACATCCCCCTCCCAACCCCTCTTTTAAAGAATCTGTTCAAGAGGAAAGAACCCACAGAGAGAAGTCAGGAGACTCCTGCAACAGTCTTGTGAGCAGGCTGAGGCCAACTGTGTCATTTAATGCTCACCTCTCCCGTACAAAGCAGTTGCTGCTATTGTCCCCATTTTACAGGCCAGGACACTGAGACCTCAGGACGAGAATGGCAGGGGGTTCACTCTGTGTCTCTCTGATGATGCAGGGGATGGGAAGGGGAAGAGTAGACCATCCAGAGGACCAGGGAGGCACAGCAGAGGTCTTGGGATGGGGATCTGAGCGGCGGCATCTCCACGCCAGCTGGGAACCCATCCTGGGCTACATCAATGAGCAGTATGAGCGGTACCTGCAGGAGGAGATTCTCATCACGCGCCAGCGCCACATCCCCGACACCCGGGTGCACTGCTGTGTGTACTTCGTGCCACCCACTGGGCACTGGTGAGGTGGCTGGACCAGCCTGGGGACGGACACCTGCATGGGGCGGAGACGAGAAAGAGGGGTCCCCAGGGCGGGCTTCAGGCTGCCTCTCCCATCACTCACACATATGACGCCACCGCCACTGCTGTCCCTGCCCTGCCCGGGCAGTCTGCGGCCCCTGGACATCGAGTTCCTGCAGCGGCTGTGCCGGACTGTGAACGTGGTGCCCGTGATCGCCCGGGCTGACAGCCTGACCATCGAGGAGCGTGAGGCCTTCCGGAGCAGGGTGATCTGGTTGTCCGAGGCAGGGCTGGGGTCAGGCTGCCAAAAAGAATGGGCAGAGCAGGCTGAGGTCACCTGTGTTTGGTCCCCAGATCCAGAAAGACCTGAAAAGCCACTGCATCGATGTGTATCCACAGAAGCGCTTTGATGAGGATGCCAATGACAGGATTCTCAACAGCAAGATCCGGGTAAGAGCCAGGGATGTAGCTCAGTGGCACAGTGTCTGCCTGGCAAGCACAAGGTCCTGAGTTTGATTCCCGGTCCCAAAAAAAGATCTTTTTTTGTCGGGCATGCTGGCGCATGCCTGTGATCTCAGCACTTGGGAGGCTGAGGCAGGACCATTGCAAATTTGAGACCAGCCTGGGCTACAAAGAGAGCTCAAACCCAGCCTGAACTGCATAGCGAGACCCTGTCAAAAAGACAAAAAAGAAAAAAACAAAAAGATCCAGGTAAGAGGCAGTAGGGGCCACAGGCTGGTGGGACTGAAGCTGGTGATCTTTCCACTCATCCTCTCCTTCTGAGGGTTCACTTCTTTCTACAACTCCAGGAAATTTGCATATATGGTATTTCCAGCAGACTAGAATTTCCATTCGTCCACTAACTCCAGGTCTATGTCCACTGAACAGGAGGAAATGTTCATAATCACATCTATTATGGAGCTTGTGTTATGAAGATATAAAGCACCCTTACAACTCGACAATAAAAGACAACCCAATTTAGAAGTAGAAGCAAGGCTGGGCAAGGTGGTACATGCCTATAAGCCCAGCACTCTGGGAGGCTGAGGCAGATGGGTTATAAATTCAAGCCCAGTCTGGGCAGCTTCGTGACTTAGCAAGACTCTCTCCCAAAATAAAAATAAAAAATATTAAAAGAGTAGGGGATATAGCTCAGTGTAAAGGCCCTGGGTCAATCCCTAGTGCCCTCACACACACACACACACACACACACACACACACACACACACACACACACACACAAAGAGCAAGGGCTGGAGGTGTAGCTCAGTGTAAGGTGCTTGCTTAGCATGTGCAAGGCCTTGGGTTCAATACTCAGCATTGCAAAAAGAAAAACAAAATGGGCAAAAGATTTGAATAGTTATTTCTCCAAAGATCTACAAATAGCTAAAAAGGACACAAAAATGTGTCTAACACCATCTCTGTGGGTCATTAGGGTAATGCAAATCAAAACCACAGTGAGCAGACTATACCTGTCTGAGCGGTGCCTTAGTCAGTTTTCTGTTGCTATAACTGAACTCCTGAGACTGGGAAACGTATAAAGAAAGAACCTCATTTAGATCACAATAATGGAAGTCGGAGATAGAGTGGCGACATAAGTGCAACTTCTGGTAAGGGCCTCATGCTGTTCCCAGCACAGTGGAAATGTGCAAGGACAGTGGATATGTGCAGAGAGGTGACATGGGGAGAGGAAGCAAGGAAAAAACCAGGGAAGCCTGGCTCACTTTGCAACAGCCTGCTCTCAGGGTGACTCATCCAGTGCCATGAGAACAACTCCTCCCTCTGTAGACAGTGTTAGCCTACTGGGGAGGGTTCCGCCCCTCCACACACCTCCCGCTGGGCTCCAGCTCCAACGCTGCCGCAACAGCCATCACCTCTAACTGGAGTCGTTTTTTCTCTGTTTTAACTTTTATTAGTACACGTTTGCAGTACACAATGATTACATTTCTTGGGTGGAGTTGGTACATGTCCATCACACATCACAATTCTTTTCTCATTCCCTTCCCCTCCTCTCCCTCCCATCTCCCTCTATCTTTTGATCCCCTTTCCCCTCTCATTTACAAAAGATCTATCTTCCTATTTCTTATTATTTCCTGTATAAGAGAAACTATGTAGTACTCACTCTTGTGTGTCTGAGTTATTTCACTTAATATTATGGTCTCAAGTCGCATCCAATTTACTACAAATGACTCCAGTTTATCCTTCTTTATTGCAGAGTAGTACTCCACTGTGTATAAATACCACATTTTAAAATCCATTTCTTTGTTGATGGACATATAGGCTACTTCCAAGATATAACTATTAAGAATTGTGCTGCTATAAACATGAGTATGCATGTAGCACTGTAGTATGATGTCTTTAATTCTTTGGGGAAAATACCTAGAAGGGAAATAGCTGGGTGTAATGGAATTTCTTGGTTTTTTTTTTTTTTTTAAGGAATCACCATACTAATTTCCATACTGGTCATACTAGTTTACACTCCCACCAACAATATAGGAAGGGTTCCTTTTTCCCCACAGCCTCACCAGTATTTGTTATTGTCTGATGTCATTCTTTATGGCATATGGAGTAAGGTAGAATCTCACTGTTGCTTTAATTTGCATTTCTCTAATACATAGAGATATTGAACATTTTTCCATGTATTTACTAGCCATTTGTACTTCTTCCGAGAAATGTCTATTTATCTCAGCTGCCCATTTTCTTTGGTACCAGAAATCAAACTCAGGACCTTGCGCTTTCCAGGCAGGTGCTATGCCGCTGAGCTGTATCCCCAGCCCTCATTTTTTGATTGAGTCTTTTACTTTTGGGAGATCTGATTTTTTTTAGTTCTTTACTTATTCTAGATATTAGTCATTTATCGGAGGAATCACTAGCAAAATTTTTTTCTCTGTACTTGAGTTTCAGAAGAGAGACAAACCACACTCGCATTGCAGCACAAGGCCATAATAAAAAGCAAGTGTTGCCCCGGGTGCAGAGGAGCTAGCGCCTCGCACACTGCCCGTGGACTGTACAGTGGTGCAGTAGGTTGAGAAGTAGTCTGGCGGCACCTCAAACGCAGCAACATCCATTACTATAGGGCCCAGTAACTACACTACTGGGCTGCAAACACACATCCCTGAAAACATACACTCACACTCAGAAAATGAAGCCGGGATATAGCTCAGCAGCACAGTACCTGCCTGGCAAGCATAAAGTCATGAGTTCAATTCCCGGCACCAAAAAAAAGAAAATGAAAGCACATGTCTGCTCAAGAAAACTTGTATGTGAATGTTCCCAGCAGCACTAAACATGACAGCCCAAGGGTGGAAATGACCCAACTGCCCATCAATGGATGAATGGGAAAACACAACATGGGACGGTGCCCACACCCTGGACCATGCTCAGCTACAGGAAGGAAGGAAGCACAGACACAGGCAGCAGCATGGGTGAACTGCAAACACTGTGCTAATTGATTTTTTGTTTGTTTGCTTTTGTCTTTTTGAGACAGGGTCTCGTTATGCATTTCAGGGTGGGCTTGAGCTCACTTATGTAGCCTAGGCTGGTCTCAAACTCCAACCAAGCCAGGAGTGGTGGCACATGCTTGTAACCCTAGCACTCGGGTGGCTGAGGCAAGAGGATCATTGCAAGTTCGAGACCAACCTGGGCTACAAAGTGAGCTCAAGGCCAGCCTGAACTACATAGCAAGACCCTGTCTCAAAAAGACAAAAAAGATTACAGACATGCATCACCACGCCCGGCCACGCTGTGCTAGTTGAAAGATACAAAAGGCCACATATTGTGTGATGGTATTTATATGAAATGTTCAGAGCAGGCAAATCCATAGAGACAGAAAGTAGGTGAGCATGTTCCTAAGGCTGGGGAGAGGGGAGAATGTGCGTGGGTTTTCTTTTTAAAGTAATGCAAATGTTCCACAGTTAGTGATGAAGGTTGTGTACCTGGTGAATGTACTACAACCCACGGAACTATACACTCTATTTAGTTAGTTAGTTAGTTGTTAGTTAGTGAGCTAGTTAGTTAGTTGCTTTTGTGGTACTGGGTACTGAACTCGGGGCCCCAGCCCTTTTTTGATTTTTTGAGAAAGGGTTTTGCTAAGTCACTAAAATGACTAGTCTGGGCTCAAACGTACAATCCTGCCTCAGGCTTCCAGAGTGCTGGGATTATAGGCATGTGCCACCATGCCTGGCTTGAACTATGTTCTTTAGCAGGGTAGAATTTATATATGTGAATTATACATCAATAAAGCTGTTATAAAAGAAGAAAGAGACAGACAGGCAGAGGTAAGAAACAAGCAAGCTCACATCTTCATTTTCTCCAAGTCAGCTGAATTCCTACCCTAAGTCCCCATCCTGCCACCTGTGTGGCCCATTCACTGTCAGTCTGTCCAGATTCTGGAGAACCAGGACTCATCAGCCATAGAGCCCAGGCCCCAACCCTCTCCCAGGGACTCTGCCAGCCTCCACAGTAGGAACAGGAAGACTGCTTCCTTCACAGCTGGGGCCTGCATGCGATCTCGGCCCCACCCAGGCTCATGGACAGTGGTCTCTCTAAGCAGTGGAAAAATCCCACATCTATACACGGAGGCCTCCTTCTCATCGGTGAGCCCCTTCTTCCCCTCCCCACTGAAGCAACAAACCAGTTTCCTGTGGGAGGTTCCAAAAGCCTGATCTCCATCGGCTTGTGCTTTCTGTCCTGAAGCAGGCCAGTCGCTGCTAGAACAGAGATTGGGGAATTACCAGGCGAACACACTCAATGTCTCAATAAATCCTTCACACACATGCATTTAGCGTGGGCTGGCACACAATAAGCATGCAACTATAGTTACTATTATTAATCTTATTCCCCATACAAGTTAACTTGTCAAAATAAAAATAGGAGTTGGGGATACAGCTCAGTGGTATAGAGTGCTTGCCTGGCATGCACAAGGCCCTGGGTTTGAGCCCCAGAACATTAATAAATAATAAATAATAATAATAACCGCGAGGCTTGGTGACATGTACCTGTAACCCCAGGTACTTGCGAGGCTGAGGTAAAAGGATTGCAAGTTCGAGGCCCACCAGGGAAACCTAGTGAGTCCCTGTCACAAAATAAAAAATGGCTGGGGATGTCGCTCAGTGGTAGAGCATCCCTCTATCACTTCTCAGTATTACAAAATAGATAAAATAGACAAATAACCCCTTTGGAGATTACACATTTGAATTTCCACTTGTGCTCATAATAGTGACAGCAACTAGATTTTACAGTAGGTAGGGGAGGCTTAGCAAACTTTTTGCAAAGGGTGGGATGGTAAATGTCTCAGACTTTCAGACAGTCTCTGCTGTGATCACTCCACTCTGCTGCTGCGGCCCACAGAGCCGCAGACAAGAGAAGAGGAATGAATAGGCTTCGCTGTGCACCCGTAAAACTCTGAAGGAAACCGGGCAGCTGGCCCAGGGTCGCTGTGAGCCATAGCTTGCCAGAGCCTGGTTTACAAAGTCACTTATTAAAAATTGTATGAAAAATACAATTTCATAGCAAAATCGTAAGAGAATAATAACAGTTAATACATTATCAGAGTACAAGACATAGACAAAAGGGATTCTTACAAACCAGATGTGGTGGTGCACTCCTGTAATCCCAGCACTCAGACGGCTGAGGCAGGAGGATCACCGTGAGCTTGAGGCCCTCAGCTACATAGTGAGTTGAAGGCCAGCCTGGGCTACACAGTAAGACCCTGTCTCAAAAAACAAAACAAAAAGGATTCTTACAGAGAAGAAACAGATAAGAGCACAAAACTTTTTTTTCAGTGAACTAAGAGAAACTAGTATAAAAGAAAAAATTAGCATAAATATTAAAATAGTTTTGAAACAATGGAATAGGTAATTTGTCAGACACATGAGATTAAATATCACATGGTTTCTCTTATATGAATACAAACACACACACACAGAAAGAATAAAAGAGAAGACAGATAAATAGGAAATAGGGAGAAGTTCAAGGGCAAAGTCAAAGTCACTTATTTTGATCTTAGAAGGTGATTACTAGGCCTAATGTAGTGGCACACACCTGTAATCCCAGCACTCAGGAGGCTGAGGTGGGAACATTACTCACTATGGAGTTCAAGGCCAGTTTGGGCTAAATACAAAGTGAGTTCAAAACCAGCTGGACTATAAACCGGGTGTGACAGTGGTCATCTCAGCACTTGAGAGGCTGAGGCAGGAAGATCACCATGAGTTCAAGGCCAGTCTGGGCTACATAGTGAGTCCAGCCTGAAATACATAGTGAGACCCTGTCCAAAAAAGGGGAGAGAGTTTCATGCCCCAGGTAAGAAGTTAATGTTGGCAACATTATATATTTTTCTTTTCTTTTAGCAGTTCTGGGGATTGAGCCAATGGCCTTGCATATACCAAGTGCGGGCTTTATCACTGAGCTACACTTCCCAGCCCCAAGATTATATTATTAACAAGGTTACTAGCAAAAACACAATTTACCAGCCATGGTGGTACACACCTATAATCCCAACCCTGGGAAGACTGAGGCAGAAAAGGAGGATCACTGCAACTTCAAAGCCAACCTGGGCTACGTAGTTAGTTCAAGGCCAGCCTGAACATCGCAGCAAGATCCTATTTTATTTTATCTATCTATTTATTTATTCTCTTTTTGAGACAGGGTCTCACTATGCAGTTCAGGCTAGCTTAAACTCACTTTGTAGCCCAGGCTGGCCTCGAACTCACAACGATCCTCCCGCCTCAGCTTCCCGAGTGTTCAGATTATAGACGTGTGTGCCACCACACCCAGTCATAAGGTATGATTTTAAAAAACACAAAAAACAAAAAGACACAGTTTCCAAGGGTTATTCTGCTAATTTTTGATTATGTCATACCCTTATCACTGGTCACAAAGCTCTATGCCAATCCTGCTAGTGTTCCCATTTTACAGATGAGGCAACAGAGGTGTGGTATTAGCTTTTGTGTCTGTGGACTCCTTAGAACTTGTTTTTTTTTTTTTTTTTTTTGGTTTCTCTCCGGTACCAGGAACCGAACTCACGACCTTGCGCTTGCCAGACAGGCGCTTTGCCGCTGAGCTAAATCCCCAGCCCCTCCTTAGAACTTTTGCCCCATCTCAACAAAGGACAGTGTCCTCCTCTGCCTCAGTACCTCCCCCACCGGCCCATCCTCCCATCTTCTCCTGCCCTAGGAGCGAATCCCGTTTGCCGTTGTCGGGGCAGACCAAGAGCACTTGGTGAATGGGAGGTGTGTCCTGGGCCGGAAGACCAACTGGGGCATCATTGAAGGTCAGTGCTGGGAGCCTGGGAGGATGCAGGTGAGGGCAGGCTGGAAATCAAGGCATGTCCTATGCCTTCAGCATCCTGGGTACTCCCCCAGGACCTGGGTGGTTAAGTCCATGGACAGGGGCCAGACAGACTTGAGAAAGGCCCCTCTCCTCATTTGGGAGGCCTTGGGCAAATTAACATCACCTGGGCTCAGTCTCCTCATAGGGAAATGGGTGTTGTTAGAGCAACGTCAACCTCCCAGGGAGCTTGGAGAAGGTAATACCACTGCTTCGGACAATTCCCAGCACCGCAGGTGCCCTGTGGGCTCACTGAATTTACTGTGGGCCTACTATGTGCCAGGCACCACTCTTCAATTTCTGAAGGAATATAACACAAGCAGGACTGTTGAGTCCCTGTCCCCATAGGGCTGAGGAAATAACAGCAGAGGGAGAAATACAGTGAGGGAAGTTGGTGGGAGGGAGGGAAGTAGCAGGAGCCCAGGGAGCCAGACAGCCTGCTGCTGAGGGTAAGCCTGGAAAGTAAGGGACAAGCAGCAGCCTGGCCCTGGCCCCTGATTTATTATTGTCAGCTGTAGAAATATGTGTATTATCTACGGTACAATAAGCATAATATGGGGAGCTGGGGATTTAGCTCAGCGGCACAGCGCCTGCCCGACAAGCGCAAGGTCATGAGTTCGATCCCCGGTATAGGAAAAAAACCAAAACCAAAAAAAAAAAAGAAGAAGAAGAAGAAGAAGAAGTGTAATATGACATAATAGTGATGGCGGGTTGGACAACTTTTTGTAGGAACCACTGTACCAGGTCCAATGAATGAATGAACCAAGGAAGGGGAGGTGGGATAACACAGTGAGAAACGTGGGGAAATGGCAATGGCGGGGCTCAGGTGGCACACAGCATAGGGCAGGTGCTTACTCCGTGCTCGCTGAGAGCAGAGTGGCGGCACAGCACCCAATCAGTACCATGTCTCACAGTGGAGAACATGGCGCACTGTGAGTTTCCTCTCCTGAGAGATCTGCTCATCCGGTGAGGCCTGGGACGTCCTGGGGCTGGGCAGCTGGAAAGGGAGCCCCAGGGGCTGCCATGGCCGGGGCTGACCTGCCTCCCACTGCCCAGCTCCCACCTCCAAGACCTGAAGGACATCACACACAACATCCACTACGAGAACTACCGTGTTGTCCGACTCAACGAGAGCCACCAGCTGCCACGCGGGCCCGGATGGGTGAACCTGGCCCCCGTGAACCTGGCTTCTGCTTCTGCTGGACCGCTGACCACACCTGGGCCCTCAAAGGCCCACAAGTGGGCCCAGGAGGAGCCCAAGTATGAGTTCTGAGCTCTAGAAGATCCGGGCCTGCTGGGCTCCCCAAGTTCCCAGCAGCCAGTGCCCAACACACCGTGTCCTAGAGCATCTGTTAAAGGTGCTCCTTGTCTTTTATAAAAAAAATCTGTGCTTTGATGACAAAAGGCATCTTGTAAATGACTTCTTTGAACTAGCTTCAAATGTTAGGCCAGCGCTCTTTTTTTAAGGAGCTTCACCTGGGCATGTTTTTTTTTTTTTTTTTTTGGTGATATTGGGGATTGAACTCAGGGCCTTGTATTGTTAGGCAAGTGCTCTGCCACAGAGTTACATCCCCAGCCCAAGTCAGCTTCAGATGAAAGCGTGGTTCTTTAAGTAACAATGTAAGACCCAATATCCAAGGTCCTTGAGAGTTCTTCCCCCTCCAATTGAGCCAGAGCTGGACTTCTCACTCCTGACCTGGGGCTGGAACATGAACTCTAAAACCTCTCCATAAGCTGTGCATGGTGATGCACACATGTAATCCCAGCACTCTGGGAGGCTGAAGCAGGAAGATTGAAAGTTTGAGCCTAGCCTGGGTAGCTTAGTGAGACCCTGTCTCAAAATAAATAAAAAATGGCCTGGAGAAGTAGCTCAGTGCAGAGGCCCTGGATTCAACCCTCAGTACCACAAACAGACAAACAAACCACCCTCTCATTGGTGGTAGATCTCTGGCTTTCTCCCAACCCTGAGCCATGTGGGCCCCACCTGACTATTCTCCCAGCCCTAGCAGACTAGGATGGTGAGCAAACGGTTCCCCACGTGCATCTGGCCAGGCTGCTGCAAAAATCCCAGTCAAGCAAGTCACATGAAAAAAAAAAAAAAAAAAGCAAGTCACATGCCTGTTTGTTTGTTTGTTTCTTTTCTTTTCTTTTCTTTTTCTTTAAATTTTGAGACCATGTCTAACTATGTAGCCCAGGCTAGCCTTGAACTCAGGGTGACCCTCCTGCCTCAGCCTGGGATTGCAGGCATACACCACCATGTCCAGTTGATCGGGTCACTCGTGCAGCATTGTTGCTCAGACAAAACTGTTCCTTCTTTGAGCATGCTTGCCACAGCCCAGAGAAATGGTGCAAAGACAGAGGCGCCAGCAACAGGATGGCTCCGGGGCAGAGGACCTGTGGCACCGTGAGTGAACCGTTCTCTCCCACGACACTCAGCACAAAAACAGACAGACTTCATGGGATTTCATGTGGTGGGGCTGAAGCTCATTCAGTTTGGTAATTAAAGGAAGAGGGACACCTACAACCCAAGGGCAGGGAGACACCCCAGCTCCTGGAAGGACGAGGTCACGGTGATGATCAGTGACAACAGTAAACAGTATACTATCCTAGCTACAAGTCACTGCCTTCATGAAGCCCTCCTTGACTTCCCCAGGTGAATCACACGGTTTGTCTTCCGATCAGTCTCCTCCATTAGAATGGGGCCTCTGTGACAGTAGATATATGTTTCATCTCTGCAGCCAGCACATGGCAGGCACTCAGGATAAAACTATTTACTTAAAGAACCCTGTGCTGCCTGCCCCATAGTGGTGACCACTGAATTCACTCTCCTACCTCTCCACTGTATCCCGGTTGACTCCAGGCGTGGGTTGTTTTGGCCTTGGAGCCCATGGCCACACACATCACCCATAAGCAAGCTCTTAGAGGTGGCAAGCTGAAACCTGGAGGAGGAGACACTGCCCCATGCTGCAGCCCATTCCCACACTTAAAATTAGCCCCAGGCAATACGAAAATGTCTACAATATTTCTACAGCGCACATTCTTTGGTTCAGTGCTTGCATTTCTAGGAATGGGTATTAGAGATAATCCTGCATGCCTCAACCTCAGCACTAGTGACATTTAAGGCTGGATCATTCTTTGCCATCCTGTGCACTGTAGGATGTGTAGCTGCATCGCTGTCCTCCATCTACTATACACCAGCAGCAACTCCCCCCACCACACTGTGAAAACAAAATTACTTAGACACTGTCACATGGGGGGGGGGCATCTCCCCAGCTGGAAACCATGACATCCATGGTACATGTACATGGTGTCTAAAAGGGTATCTGAGGTATAAAGGATGGAAACACCCTATCTGTCCAGGAGGTCATCGACACCAGTGTATTATTAGTGTTCTATGGCTGCTGTAACAAAGGTGCCTTGTTACAAATCTGAAGTCAGCATCACTGGGTCATACTGTCTCTAGAGCCGCAGAAGAGAATTCTCTTCCCTGCATTTCCCAGCTTCTGTAACTATGTTACTTGTTTCTGGTACATTTTTCCATTTTCAGAGCTGGTAGCTTAGCTTTCTTTTTTCTTGTGGTGCTAAAGATTGAACCCAGGACCTTTGCACTGAGCTACATCCCCAGGCATAGATAGATGATAGATGATAGATAGATAGATAGATAGATAGATAGACAGACAGACAGATAGGTAGACACAGAGACAGGGTCTTTTTTTAAGTCTTTAAGTTGCTCATGTAAAACCTGAACTTGCAGTTTTTCTGCCTCAGCCTCCCAGAGTGATGGGATATCAGGTATGTGCCACCACACCCAGCCAGCAACTCAGGCTCCCTCCCTCTCCCCCACCACTCCACTAGCTGGGGATTGCCCCAGGGATGGTCTACCATTGAGCTACATTTTTAAATTTTTATTTTGAGATGGAGGTCTTGCTAAATTGCAGGCAGGACTTGAATTTTTGATCTTCTTTCCCACAGCCACCTCAGTGCTGGGATTACAGGTATGCATCACCATGCCCAGGTTAGCAGTTTAGGTTCGTGTTCCGAGAGTCACACTGCCTTGTCCTGGGTCAAATCCCTTTCTGCCTCCCTTTTACAAAGACCCACACTGTTACACAGAACTCACCAAGACAATTCACAATAATCTCCCCACATCGAAATTGCTGAATTTAATCGCATCCATCATATCATATAAGATAATATTATTTGCAGGTTCCAGACTACCAAATGGGTATCTCCAGGGCCATCTTCTAGCCCACGACAGACAGCTCAAGCTTCCAGGGCCCACCACGCACAGGAAAACAGAGCGTTCTGCAGAGAACAAAACAAGGTCACTGCCCCGGAGCTTGAGTCTGTTTTATATCACTTGGTCACTTCTACCACAGATGTGATTAATGATTATCTGTGTAATTATTCTGTCCACTGTATCCCTCTTTTGGTAGAATGCAAACTCCAGGAAAGCGGGTACCTGCTCACCGCCCAGAACGCTGGTGCCTGGTAAAGCTGCCAGATGAAATGATTCAACGTGCAGCTCGGTTTGTTTGTTTGAGACAGAATCTCACTATGTAGTTCAGGCTGGCCTAGGATTCACAGCAATCTTCCCACTTTGCAAGTGTTGGGACTGGAGGTGTGTGCCACCACACACGGCCTCAATGTATAGCTTTTTAAACAGGTGACGGGGATGAATGTTTGAGATTTAACGTCCTTTGCATTGAGCTACATCCCCAAGCATAGATAGATGACAGATAGACAGAGAGACAGGGTCTTTTTAAGTCTTTAAGTTGTTCACGCAAAACCCAAACTTGCAATTCTTCTGCCTCAGCCTCCCAGAGTGATGGGATAAAGGGTATGTGCCACCACGCGGCTGTGGATCCCTCCCCACCCGGGTAGTGGGGATTGAATCCACGGCTTTCGCACTGAGCTGCAACTCCAGCCATTTTAAAATTTTGAGACGAGGTCTCACTGAGTAACTAGGTTGCTCAGGCTTGGCTCTAACTTGCATTCTCCTGCTTTAGCCTCCCAGAGTTCTGGGATTACAGGTGTGCGCCCCCGCCCCCTCCCCCAGGAGGATATTGAGGATCAGCGCAGGAAAGGGGCCAGTCAGCTTTCTCGGTGACAAAGACGCGGCCGCGTGGTGGCTGAAGCAACTTCCTTTGTGCCCCACGCAGACCCGCCTTTTGGAGAGACAGGAAGCCTCGGAGCTGAAGCCAGGGCGGAAGGCCAGACGCCCTCCTCCAGGTCTGCGCTCGCGACTTCCACTTCCGGTGGGCACCATCCTCTTAGGCGAGGCTTTGAAAACAGGGATTCGGGCGAAGGGGCGGGGCCTGGGCGGAGGGGCGGGACCTGGGCGACGGGGCGGGGCCTAGGTTCCCTTGGCCTGAGACACCCGCCCCGGAAGCTGACCTGGCTGTGCACCTACTGTGTGCACTTACCCGCATTACTTCCTTGGTTGCTGGTGCTCTTTACCGCATGTGCCCCAGCACAGGGAGAGAGAGCAGAGCATGTTAAAGTGGAAAATTGGTCAGAATCATATAAAGTCCCTGGGTCAGGTTTTAATAGGCCTGGGTTAGAAACCCGGACTAGAGTAGACTAACCTAATGGTTAGGCGCTAAGGTTGTAAATCAAAGGTTTAGGTTCCAGTCCCATTTCTGTACCTCATAACTGTGTGACCCTCCCTTGGCTTAGTGCTTAAAGCTCTCAAGAGCTCCAGAGGCTTTCTTTCTTTCATTTTTTAACCTGTAAAAGAGATAATCACATACCTCTGTTTTTACTAAATTGGGAACAAACCAAGTGCAGCTATATTTCTCCTTGCGCAAGAATTGATGGCCATTATGTCAGAAAGAAGCAAGAGGAGGGTGGTCAGGCCAGCCTCAGGGGTAGATCGTGTCCCTAGCACGTGCAGACCCTAGGTTTGAAACCCAGTGAAGAAGAAAAAGAAGAACTAAGAGATATTTGGGGTTGGAAGTCCCTGGGGGGTGGAGAAGGAGGCCAGCTAGGAAATGACCTGGGAAATCTTTATCCTTGGGCATTTGGTGTATTTTCAAGTCTTTCTGGGTTTGTTTGAGACTATCCTTGAGCTCTGGGGCTCAAAGAATTCTTCCCTGTCAGGCCTGGAAGTAGCTGGGACTATAGGCATGTGCCTTTGACCCCAGCCTCTTTTCTGGTCTCCCTCCTCTTTCCCCTCTTTTCCTTCCCCTCGTCCTTCTCCTTCTCCTTCTCCTTCTCCTTCTTCTTCTTCTCCTTTCCTCCTCCTCCTCTTTCCCCTTCTCCTTCCCCTTTTCTTCCCCTTCCCCTTCTCCTTCTCCTTCTCCTTCTCCTTCTCCTTCTTCTTCTTCTCCTTTCCTCCTCCTCCTCTTTCCCCTTCCCCTTCCCCTTTTCTTCCCCTTCCCCTTCCCCTCCTCCTTCTCCTC